GGGGGGGGGGGGGCACGGGGTTGGGTGTGGGTCAAAAAACATACCATTAACAACCCCAAAAATGGAGAGAAAATAAGGACTCGACTCCAAGTACATTGATAATTATGCTCACACAATGCAAAGTGACAACTTTACAAATGCTTGACATAAAATAAAATCTACTATTCACGGAATCACGACATGATTGCAATAAAGATGAGAGATATAGAACCAATCTAAGGAAAAATAATCCTCAAAAAGCAGTCAGTCCACACCTAACATCATCTTGGCAGCATATACCTTATTCCTAGATGGTCTTGGAGAAAAATAGATACAAATCACCAAGAGCATCTAATAGTAGAAATTGCTGCACTCCGACCCCTGCCAAGTTCAACTCAGTCTCCCTAAAAAAGTTAAAATGATTCCCACTCACATAGAAAATAGAAAAAACTAGGAAAAAAGAAGGCACAACCCGGTAGAAAGTCCTGAAATCAGTGTTTTGCCTTCTTACCACTTCTCTTGCTCACTTCTCCTAGTTTATGAAGACAGACAATAAAGAAGATGCCCTTGTCATATCCAAAAAGAGCATAACCACCACTACCAAATAATATGAATAATATTTGAAACCCTCATGCCTTCAAATTCGTCCTTAGCAATACAAGTCCTCATCATACTTGCGACTTGGACTGCACATACAAAAAAAATTCAGGAGGACTACAACAAATACCGAGGAGAAATTTTCCAAACTATGGAAAGCATAAAAAGGCAAACAGGGACATTATGCATTGGGCATCATAACTGTTGCAAATAAATACATGTAAACAGCAGGAAACGTGCCACAAAGAAAAAAAACAAATAGTGTTTGCCAAGCACAAGGGAACTTGCAGGGAAAAATAAAAGATGAATTATAATGATTCATCAAATAGCCCATCCACGCAGACAGATGAGAACGGGAGAGAGCAGAGCAGCAGCTGGCAGCTGCCCCAACAACTTTTCTTTGCCATTTAACAATCTANCGTGCCACAAAGAAAAAAAACAAATAGTGTTTGCCAAGCACAAGGGAACTTGCAGGGAAAGATAAAAGATGAATTATAATGATTCATCAAATAGCCCATCCACGCAGACAGATGAGAACGGGAGAGAGCAGAGCAGCAGCTGGCAGCTGCCCCAACAACTTTTCTTTGCCATTTAACAATCTACAACATGACCACAGTGCTCAACACTATATAAGACTTGAAACTCCGTCCAAGCCAAATTCATCAAAAAAAAAAAAGTGCCAAAATAGCAGAAATTGTTAGAAGCAATTGCTGCAGGAAAATAATCAATGCAACAATCCAAACTAATATGAACACCAGAAACAACCACCAAAGTGAAATAAAGCATTGCAACAATCTAAACTAATGTAAACACCAGAAACAACCAAAATGTTCTCAGAAATGCCATACGCAAAGCCCAATGCCGAAAAAATCGGTGAGATGACCATATCAAGTACCCTCAAACCAGGAATGTTATCAAATCACAAAAATAACAAGGATGAAGAGCACACCATACCAGCAGGAACTTCAATTATAAAGAAAGTGAAAAAACCAGCAATCAAGGAGAATTATAATAGTGTAGCATGTCTAGTTTCCAGCAGCAGCACATCACAACATTTAACGATCTATAGCAGGATCACAGTTCTCAACACTATATAAAAGACGGACACTCGGACTCAAAAAAGATCGGTGTGCCGAAATAACATGAATTTACTAGAGGCAATGGTGAAAACATGTCTGTACAGTAAGGCAACCAATCCAAACTAACATGAACACCAAAAGCAACCAAGCGACGCTCCCAGAAATGCCATACACAAAGCTCCATGCTGAGGATAAATGGAAAAACCGAAACAAGCAAACTACATACCAAGAATGTAAATCAAATCACCAAAAAAACAACAAAGAAGAGAATGCCATACTAGCAGGAACATCACTTGTTAGAGAATTAGTATCCCGCAAGAAAGTTAAAACAAAAAAAAAACAGAAAAACAAATTTCTGTTGACGGATTCAGTTCATTCTCAAGAAAGGGAACAAGAAAAAAGTGAAAAAACAATGAGGTTACTCATGATTAGAAGCATCTTCAATCCTCCAAAAATCCCGGCGTCAACTGCACAGCTTCAACCTAGGAAAACCAATGAAATGCCTCATGAATCATGAGTATCCGAGAGAATAGCCACTTCTCGCACACTAAATAAAGTTGATTACCAAATGAAAAAATAAACACAATACCAGCAGGAAATTCCCTTTCTAGAGTATTAGTATCTTGCAACAAAGTTAAAAGAAAACCCAAGGAAATAATTTTTTGTTGGAGAATCCAGTTCATTCTTAAGAAAGAGAGACAAGAAGGTGAAAAAACAATGAGGCTACTCATTATTAAAAGCATCTTCAGTCCTCCAAAAATCCCAGCATCACCGAGACCTAAGAAAACCAACAAAATGCCAGGTGAGTATCTGGCAGAATAGGCCACTCTTCTCGTAAACTGAATAAAATTGACTACCAAAGAAAAAGAAAGAGGACAACACCATACGGCATCTCACAAGAAAGTTAAATTAGAAAAACCCAGAAAAATAATTGTGATTGGAGGATTCAGTTCATTCCGAAGAAAGGGAGACAATAAAGTGAAAAAACAATGAGGCTACTCAGAAGCATCTTCAGTCCTCCAAAAATCCTGGTGTCAATTGAACGGAACCAACCTTAGAAAACCAACAAGATGCCACATGCACCATGAGCACCTGAGAGAATAGGCCACTTCTTGTACATTGAATAAAACCAAGAGTTAAAGTCATCATACTGGCAAGAACAAACGACATACTGACTCAATGGTACAAAAGATATAAAACATTCAATTTTTTGTTTTTGGTTTTTTTTTTCTTTTGGTGGGGGCTTGTAACATGGGAAAACCACAGAAAACAAGACTTTTTTGAATAACCCGGTGACCTACCAATTGTAGAAGTAGGATTTTTGGCAAGGAATAAGCCCTTAAATAATACAATTCCGGAAGATGGTACGGAAGGAAAAGGAGGGGGGGGGTTGTCATGATAACACCACACAAAAGAAAGTGAAAGAAAAACGTTGACACAAATGGCAAAACACTTCCTATCTTTTTATTTGTGGTGGTAGCATATTTTGGAAGAGGAAGAGTCCACTAAACTGGACAACAGCACAGACATAAGAAAACAACATGGGATCTAAAAAGACAGAAGCGAGAACCATTGCACCATTCCCACGACACAGCCCAAGTATATAACTGAACCAGCTGTGGGTGCCCCGGTGTAGTCTTGCATGTATTCAACAATACTATAACCATATCCACTACAAAAAAGCACAACATGCAGAAATAAGAGATGAGAACAGCAGCTGAAAAAGGAAGGGCAGCAAAACATTAGAACATATTAGATGCAATCTATAGCAGCTGCACCAGAAACATAGTCTTTCCCCAAATTCCTTACAACAGGAAATGGAACAGACACAACAACATTTTACAGAATAATCAAAAATTCTGTTTCACAACAAAATAAGTAAACATATCTAAATGGAAACATCGGACTCATTGCTGTGAAATGAGATCACATCTGAATCAAGGGTATGAGAAATATTATGACACTTTCAGTACATGAACATCAATAGAGAACTACTATTAAAAAGCCATATACATAACAGCGAAATCAAACCAATCACTGATGCCACTAACACCTGATACATTCCTATGAAAAACGACAGCACCTAAATCACTAAATATCATAACGCCATAGGTACACTACATAAATTAATTTTGAAATAAATTCGTAAAAAAACCCACAATAGCAAAAGCGATGCAGCAAACCAATCATGAGAACACAATCCAAACAGTTCTCTGTCCATTATGGCATTCAATTGTAATGAGCTGCAAACAACCAAAAATAGAGGAGCAATACCAGTATCATGCCATAGAAAAAGGAAGTAAGAAGTAGCAAATATATTGTCACAAAAAAGGAACCACTTTCGCTCACAAGTTGTGCAAGTGATACTTCGGTGGGAGGTGACGGAGGTTGGAAACCGAAGGACCTAGAACAACCAACAAGATAGTCTAGCACATTTTAAATAAAAGGAAGAACAAGACATGTTGACAGATCCGAAATACATAATTGTATCTGGCATGGGTTCACCAATATTGTCTTGCATTTGTCCTGCTTTGCAATTACAATAACGGCTTCCCCTATAAAACAATTCACCAGGCCAAAATCAAGATCAGGATCAGCTACCAAAATTGACAGACAAGAAAAGTCTGGTTAACAAAACAGGGGAAGACAGGAAAAGTGGTCATACTTGAGGGTTGATTCAACATCAGCTACTCCAAAAGCATATCTTGCTGTACAGAAAAGGGTAGACAAAACAACAGTCCACACAATCTTTACAATAGACTTCAAGCAACAAATCCCGACGAAGGACAATGGGTATCTTGCGGAGGATGATGGGGAGTTGGAAGAGGGATCCACTGTCCCAATGAAAAAACATGTAATGTAGTACATGTTTTCACCCTTACAGTGACCTCCACGGAAAAATCAAGAAATGGGAAGCGACGGCTAACAAATTAGAATGGAAAATGCGGGTTCAATCTGCAGCAACTGCTCCAAAAGCATTTTCTTCCCCAACATTCCCACAATGGCAAAGGCAACAGAACCCACACCAGTTCATTTAATCTCTACACTAGAATTCAAGCTACAAAGCTGAACAAAATCCCCATGACAGAAACAGAAAGATTTTGATATTTTCAATCTAAGTACCAAAAGTAACCATGCCTAAATGGAAACCACCGGCACAATTTCATGGAAATAAGATAATACTTGAACCACAGGCATAAAAAATATGTGCAAGTTAAATGATAACACCTGAACCATGGGTATAAAAAATATGTGCAATAGGTTAAATAGTCATTTATCAATACAAAAAATGGTTTAAGCAATCGCCGACTGCAAGATCACAAGGATTAGCTCAATCCAATTGCAGTGCTCTGCAGAAAATCAGAATAGAGAACCACCACAACACCACCATGGGAAAGAAAAGAAGAAAATAGAAAAAACCATGTCAATAAGGGTGAAACTCTATTTCTTTCGGTCTTCTTTATGTTGTGGAAAGAGGGAGAGGAAATAAAAACCAACAAAAACAAGAAAGCCAAAAATATAACTTAAGAAAACACAAAACCAAGAAAGTACCATTCCCAAGACGAAGCCCAAGTACATAGCTGGATGTACCACACGTGCACCAACATTCCCTTGCATTTGTTCTGCCTCGCACCAACTAGATCACNGAAGATAAGGGTTTTTCTTATCCACCCCATGGAATTGAGAAAATAATTGGAGCATTCCCGGTTTAATAGCAAATACATGCACTTGGACGAGAAAAAGTATGCAGGATGGTAAAATATTTCTCGGAGGTTGGAGATATTTCCTCATTGTGAAATATTTCCCGGTTCTCAACGATGAATAACTGGGACAATATTTNTATATAGGAAAAGACGGTCTGGTAAAAGAGAAAGGCCAAGGCCAGAAAAGTAGACGTGTGCACCAGTTGAATCTGCAGCAGCAGCTCCTCCAAAAGCATAGCCTTCCCTCTACATTCCTACAATAAGAACAACACTGAACAGAATGCCCAACCAAAAAAGGAAGATTTTGAATTCTTCCATTCCATGTACCAAGAACTAAAAGGGAACACGAATGCAGAAATAAATCCTCAAAAATCATATTCATAATAGCAAAAGTGAATAATAAACCCAACAATCCGAAGATTCCAAACACATTTATCAATAACTCAACCCAACTGTAGAACCTCAAGCTGCAAACAACCAAAATAGAGAACAGCCACACCACACTATACAACGGAAAAAGAATGATGAGAACAGGGTATTTGGAGCACGGCAGGAAGACGCAAGGGGACTAAACACCTAAATTGGCTCCCCGTGACTATTCTTTGCTTTTCTGGTAGTAAGTAGGGACAGAAGCAAGGGAATCCCTGTAGAACAACAAAAATACATACAACATCCATATAAATGCATTGCCATAAACTAATAGCTCACAGCAAACAGCCAATCCAGCAAAACTTTCAAGTCCTCTTCTAGGACGGGGAACGTCGACTGGTTTTCATAGTAAGAATAAAGATGCCTCAAACCAGGGATATTATCAAATCACGAAAGGAACGACGACGAAGAGCACACCATACCGCAGGAACATCAGTTCTAAAGTTTTAGTATCTCACAAGAAAGTGAAAAAACCAGCAGCAGGAGGATTATAATAGTGTAGCATGTCTAATTTCCAGAAGTAGCATCACAACATTTAACAATCTATAGCAGGATCACAGGTCTCAATACTGTATAACAGACTCTCCTTGTAGCCAAATTCATGAAAAAGATCAGTGTGCCAAAATAACCTGAATTTGCAAGAAGCAACTGTGAAAGCATGTCTGTACAGTAAGGCAACCAATCCAAACTATCGTGAACACCAAAACAACCAAACGAGATTCCCAGAAATGCCATACACAAAGCTCAATGCTGGTGATCAATCAAAATAACCAAAACAAGTAAACCTCAGACCGAAAATGTAATCAAATCATCAAAAAAACAATGAAGAAGAGAACACCATACCAGCAAGAACTTCACTTGCTAAAGAATTGGTATCTCGCAAGAAAGTTAAACAAAAAAAACCAAGGAAAATAAATTTTTGTTGCCTGATTCAGTTCATTCTCAAAAAAGGGAGCAAGAATTAAGTGAAAAAAAAAAAAAAAGAAGAGGCTACTCGATTAGAAGCATCTTCAGTCCTCCAAAAATCCCAACGTCAACTGCACAACACCAACCTATGAAAACCAACAAGATGCCACCTGAATCATGAGTATCTGAGAGAATAGCCACTTCTCTCACATTGAATAAAGTTGATTACCCAAAAAAACAATGAAGAGAACACCATACCAGCAAAGACTTCTCTTGCTAGACTAGACTATTTGTATCTCGCAAGAAAGTTTGGAAAAAAAAAACCAGAAAAATAATTTTTTGTTGGAGGATTCAGTTCATTCTAAAAATAGGAAGACAAGAAAGTTAAAAAACAATAAATCTATTCATGATTAGAAGCATCTCCAGTCCTCCAAAAATAGCAGCATCAATTGTATGGAGCTGACCTAAAAAAACCAAAAAGATGCCCGCTGAACAATGAGTATCTGAGAAAATAGGCCATTCTTCTCGTAAACTGAATAAAGTTGATTACCCAAAAAAAAAAAAAATGAAGAGGAGAACACTATCCCAGTAGGAACTTCACGTGCTAAAGTATTCAGTATCTCACAAGAAAGTTAAATAAAAAAAATCTAGAAAAACAATTTTTGTTGGAGGATTCAGTTCAGTTTGATTAGAAGCATATTCGATCCTCCAAAAATCCCAGCATCAACTGAATGGATCCAACCTTAGAAAACCAACAAGATTCCACTTGAACCATGAGTTTCTAAGAGAATAGGCTACTTCTCAAGTTAAAGATATCATACAGATATATCATATTCTTAGTGGCAAAAACAAACGAAATCCTGACTCAACGGTACAGAAGATATGCCATATTTCATCCTCGTTAACTGTGCCTTTTTTTTTTTTGGGGGGGGAGGGGGGGAGTGTGACATGAAAACACCCCACAAAAGGAAGAGAAAGAGAAGAAAAAGGCAAAGAGTCACCACAAAAGAAAGAGAGAAAGAAAAGAAAAAGGAAAATCGTCGTGACAAATGGCAAACCTCTTCCAATCTTTATTTGTTGTGGTAGCAGATTTTGGAAGAGGAAGAGTCCACTAAACTGGACGACAGCACGAACAAAAGAAAACAACATGGGATCTACAAAAGCAAGAACTATTGTACCATTCCCACGACAAAAGCATAAAACAGAACCAGTTGTCGGTACCTCAGTGTAGTCTTGCATTTATTCAACCATACTATAAGCATATCCCCTACAAAACAGCACAACATGCGGAAATAAGAAATGGGAAACAGCAGCTAAAAAAGGAAGGGCAGCAAAAATAAAAACATACCACATGGAATCTATAGCAGCTACAATAGAAACATAGCCTTTCCCCAACTTCCTTACAACAGGGAATGGAACAGAGGCAACATTATTTTACACAATAATTGAATGTTCTGACTTCTGATTCACAACACAATAAGTAACCATATCTAAATGGAAACATCCTGACACATTCCTGTGAAATGAGATCACACCTAAATCAAGGGTATGAGAGAAGATATTGTGACACTTTCGGTACACGAACATCAATAGAGAACTACTCAAAAAAATCATATACATAACAGAAAAATCAAACCAATCACCGGATACATTCCTATGAAAGTGACAACACCTAAATCACTAAATGTCATAACACCATAGGTACACTAGATAAATCAATTTTGACATAAATTTCTAAAAAAACCCACAATAGCAAGAGCAAACCAGCAAACCAGCAAACCAATTACAGGAACCCAATCCAATACCAGCAACATGCCAGAGAAAAAGGAAGTAAGAAGTAGGAAAAAATATTGAAAAGGAACCACTTTCGCTCATGTGATGGAGGTTGGAAACCAAAGGACCTAAAGACAACCAACAAGATAGTCTACTGCAATTATAAAAAACGAAGAACAAGACATGCTGACAGATCAAAAATCAAAACTGTACAGGTGCACCAATAGTCTTGCATTTGTCCTGCTTTGTGATTACAATATCGGGATCCACTAGAAAATAATTCACCACACAAAAATCAAGAACAAGTTCAGCTAGCAAAATCAACAGACAGGAAAATTCTGGTTAGCAAAACAGAGGAAGACAGGAAAAGTGATCATACTTGAAGGTTGAATCTACATCAGCTACTTCAAAAGCATACCTTGCTACACAGAAAAGGGTAGACACAACAACAGTCCATGCAATCTTTATAGTAGACTTCAAGCAACAAGATGAAATCCCCATTAACCACAAAGCAAAGATAAATATATTCAATTTTACCAAAATTAGCCATAAATAAATAGAAAGACCCAACAGATTCCTCACCAATGGATCACACATGAATCATAGGAATAAGAACAACATCCAACACTTCTGGTACACCACATAACAACCAAGGACAAAAAAAATAATAAAAAAAAAAAATATTCATTAGTAGCAAAGCAAACCAAATCATCGACACCATGATCCAAACACATCTTCCCATAATGTGATCCAGTTGTAATGCACTACAAACAGAAAAAAGAAAGAAGCCACAACAACACTAAGAAAAAGGAATAAATATACACACAAAAAAAAACCTAGTAGGAAAGGGCAAACCTGCTTCTTACTGCTTATATGCTGTCGAAGGAGTATCTTGCGGGAGGCCATTGGGGAGTTGAAAGAGGGGATCCACTGTTTTAAAGTAAAAACATGCATTGTATTACATGTATACAGCCTTACAGTAACCTCCATGAAAAAATCAAGGATTGGGAAGCGGCAGGCTAACAAATTAGCATACAAGAAAATGCCAGTTCAATCTGCAACAACCACTCTAAAAGCATTCTCTTCCCCAACATTCCCACAATAGCAAAGGCAATCGAACCCACACCGGTTCATAAAATCTCTACAGTAGAATTCAAGCTACAGAGCTAAACAAAATTCCCTTGATAGAAACAGAAAGATTTTCAGATTTTCAATCTAACTACCACAACTAGCCATGCCTAAATGGAAACCACATTCTGCCGCAATAAGATAACAACTGAACCACAGGTATAAAAAAATGTGCAATAGGTTAAACAGAGTCATTTACTAATACCAAAAATGGTTTAAGCAATCGTTGACTCCAAGATCCAAAGGATTAGCTCAATTCAATTGCACTGCTCTGCAGAAAATCAAAATGGAGAACATCACCATGGGAAATAAAAGGAAATAGAAAAAACAAAACCAAGAAAGTACCATTCCCAAGACGAAGCCCAAGTACACAGCTGGACCTACCACACGTGCACTAACATTCCCTTGCATTTGTTTAGCCTCACAACTACTAGATCACTTATAGTCCAACACACAACACAAAAATTAAGAACGGAGAAAGATAGCCAATAGACCAACATATAGGAAAAGACAGGGTCTGGTAAAAGAGAGAGGCCAGAAAAGTGGACCTGTCCAGTTGAATCTGCAGCAGCTCCTCCAAAAGCATAGCCTTCCCCCAACATTCCTATAATAAGGATGAGAGCAGACACTCTCTTGCAACAACGCTGAACAGCAAGCACAACCAAAAATGGAAGATTTTGAATTCTTCCAATGCAAGTACCAAGAGTAACAAAACTAAAAAGGAACACCTGACCTGTTGAACAACACCTGTAATATAAAAATATGACACTTCCAGTACACCAAATCGAATGAATGCAAAAAATAAATCCTCAAAAATCATATTCAAAAAAGTAAAAGTAAACCAACCCAACAATCCGAAGATTCCAAACACATTTATCAATGACTTGACCAAATTGAATAACCTCAAGCTGCAAACAACCAAAATAGAGAGGAGCCACACCAACACTATGCAACTGAAAAAGAATGATGTGGGCAGGGGAACAACAACTATACTCTCATCCAGCTCCGACTCACTTCTCCTAATATGACTATATGAGGTAGATTATGTAGAATATAAGTTTGCCAAATACAAATAAAATAATAAGGATATAATAGTAATAATGAAGAATATGAGAAGAAATAAGGTCCTACAGCAGAACCTGAGAAGGAATTGCCATAAATGTATTTACTGTTTTATCTTTGATGTCAACCAGACTATATGAGGTGCTTATTCATGATGCACAACAAGAACTACAACCCAACCACCAAACCAAACCAGAGATTTTTTTTTCATGGAAATGGACACAGCCTCGGACATAACAAAACTAGAGAATTTGCACACCCTACGAACAACAATCCTTGTACTCGCATTTTGGACTGCAGACAAGAAAGAAGCTAATACTAAGGAGAAGAGTTGGCCGAACTAATTGAAAATAATAATAGTTATACTAATTATAACTATAATTATTTAAACAACCAAGAGGAGGAGAATAAATAAAGCACCAGCAGCAGAATACATTAAGGATTACCATCTATGTACTTGCCCTTTATCTTTCCTTTCCCCTAGCCATGGTCCACCAATTCTGCAAGGAACGGACTTAAGTACTATAAATTCTGTAAGTACAAAGTCGGTAGAAGGCTCCTAAAAACAAATTAAAGTAGCCAAAGATTACTCCTTCCGAATCCTCCTATCCATCATCTACTGCAAAGCGATTTCTGCAACTGGTCCTCTATTGCCTGCAAAAAATACATAGCAACATCCCAAAAACAATAATCCATAAAACAGTTCCAAAGGGTTTCTCATGGAGAAATAAAGTCAAATCCAAACAGCGTGTGGCCCCCGAATCAAACCAAAACTTTTGACAATGCATCAAAACACCTGATTTCTGATTCCTTCAGTTCAGTAGAAAAAAAAACAAACGAAATCCCACTTGTTACAATTCAGGATACCGAACTCAGATTTCCGACTGAATAAGGTGGCCCACCCACAGCAGTTGAGTTGCAGTCTCCCCAAATTCAACATTTTGACAGTGTTTCACCTAAGTGTTTTTGGATGACAAAATCAGCATCAAGTTTCATGGCAAAAATAAGTGTTGCGATTGCAGACTGCCTTAATCTTCACCTGCTTGTGAAATCAGAAAACACCAAAAGGACGAGTAAATGGAATCAGCCTACAACCAGCGCTTTCCCCTAAAGCAACACCCAAAAAAAGTTCCCAAACAAGAGAGGAAGAGGGACTTTCCAAATACCACATTCTTTTGGCATCCATGTTTCAATTACTCGTTACAGTCCACAGTTGGTCCAAATGACAGACAACACCAGAAGCTTACACACAGATCCCAAGTTGCCAAGCACAACAGAGCAAAGTACTGCTAACACGCACAAAGAGAGTGCACCAACAAGAACAACTTCTACAACCATAACAGAACCAACAAGCATTTCCAACATCCACCAAATTCCACGAAGAACAAAAAATTACCACAGAAATGTGCCTCAGGTGGGTGAAGAAGTTCATTAATCATGAGCAACAACTCCAGGAACGACGGAAAAGCAAGGAACCTATGCGAAAAAAACATAAATTTCCTAAAAAGAGAGTCCAATCTGGGCAGTAAGTCAGCCCACCAACCAAAAAACCCAGATTGAAACAATCCAAACTGAAACCAGTCAACCCACCCACCAAAAAAAACCAGAAGTCACCCTCCAAATGCCCATGAAAAAATCTCAATGCTGGAATAATCTACAAAATCACCAATTTACAGAGAAGCAAGGAACCAGAAGCCCAGATAGAAGTGTTGATTAATTCTGGAAAAAACAATGAAGAAGTAACCATAATTTTTTATTTGAAGACCCTCCACACACATATGCAACTTTTGAAATTTCCTGTAGATTCGATGCCATATCAAGAAAACAGATTAGCCAAACATTACCTTCCTTAATTCAATTTGGAACAGCAGCAATACAACACAATCACTGAATTAGGTCAGCCGCCAGAAACAAAACATTTCCTAAACGTCTATTGTCCATCCCGTACTTGAAATTTCGCAAAATTACATAGATTTGGTTTGAGGGGTTGGGTGGGATTTGTAGTTTTTTGTGTTTTGGAGGTGGGGAAGGGGAGATGCTGGTTTTCCAGAGCAATGGGGGTAGCAGGAAGACGATAGAAAAGGGAACTTTCATATTTACCACTCCAATTCACAAACAAGAAATAGAAGAAGGCACACTGGAACATAGCAATTACCATAAATGGTGCTCTTAGACATACGAAAACATTCTTATTCCACACAGACGATATGATCCTTTGAGATAAAAGGTCCCTGTCCTCAAACCGCAAATAACCACAATTCACTTATCTCAACCAAATATCAACACTCGGACCTACGGAAACCAACAAAAAACACCATACAAGGGAGAACCATTAAAATGGTACCATATCTGTGAAGAACTGCCATATGAACCGGCAAAGCAGCAAACACAATTAAATCCCTGCAAAACAACAGACTAAGTAAAAAGGAACCAAGTAAGCAATCACTAATCCAAATGAACAAACAGGAAGAGTAAGTTCAAAAAAAGGAAAACCAATGTGTATGAGCAGACTGCTGAAGCAAACGTCTCCTAGAAGGACACACACCAAGCCGCCTAGATACTCTGGAAACTCGGACCATGCAACCTCACAAAGGAGAAGGCTACAAGAAATAGGAAAAAAAAAATATAAGAGAAAGATACTGGAAAACACAGATGATGAACAAAGGAAAACCAGAGACTAATGCATACATTGTGTTGAATCACATCGGGTTTTGCTTGGGCTTTTATGTTTTTTTTTTGGGAGAGAGAGCACAATGGGGCTAGAAGCACACAAAACCTTTCTCAATGGGCTCTCACATACAAAGAAATAGAAACAAAGTGAGGAACAAGGTTGTGCCACACTACAGATAACCAAAAAAGAACAACAAGTAACAACATATACCGAGGAAACTTACACAGCTAAAGAAAAGGGTGTAGCCTTTTCTTTTCGTTTTCTTTTTGTTTTTTTCTAGGTGGGATAGAAAACTAGGTTTTCACTCCAAAACCATTGATAATGCTCAGATAACCTAATATGAAGTGACAACGAAAAAATGTATTTTCACAAAAGTCGATATTGTAAATTATAACAAAACATAGAACACCATAAACTCAGGCGAATGCCATGTAATCAAAGTACATGGAGAGAAAAAAAATAGGTGGGGCTGAAGTGGGGCAGAGCCATCAATAATGTCGTGACAAACAATAAAACCTCTTAAGCAAGACACCATTCAAGAGTCATGGCATGATTGCAATGAATATGTGAGAGACAGAAACAGTCCAACATAGAAATAACCCAAGACAGTGAATCCTCAAAAAGCAGTTAGTCAATCAACACTTCACATCATGTTAGTCTTGTTAGAGCTCAAAACCCAAAAAATCAAACTTAACAACTAAATGGTCTTGAAACAGTAGAAACACCAAGGATATCTAATAGCAGAAATCCACATGCTCCTAACAACACAGTCCTCTCAAGAAAATATATATGATTTCAGCCCACAAAGAAATTAGATAACCAAGAAAAGAAAAAAGAAACCACAACCCAACAGAACCCCAGCATTCAATGTTGGCAGTCTTCTATTGTACTCCCCTGGTTTATGAAAAGACTGCCAATAACAAATAAAAGGCACATGTTATTATCCAAACAGTGCCTAAACACTACACCACCACCAAACCATATGAAAAGCATTTAAATCCCTTTACCTTTCAAGCTTGTCTTAAGCGATACTGATACATGTACTCATCATACTTGCCATTTTTAGACTGCACAGCAAAAACTAAAAGAAATCAACGGCCTCTAAAATATACCAAGGGGGAAAGTATCAAAAATAAGGGCAGGCATAAAGTAGCAAACGCGAACGGAGGATGCAACAGGTCTACAAATGTGNAAAGAAATCAACGGCCTCTAAAATATACCAAGGGGGAAAGTATCAAAAATAAGGGCAGGCATAAAGTACCAAAGGCGAACGGAGGATGCAACAGGTCTACAAATGTACACTTAGCAGCAGGAAACATGCCGTACACACAAAAATACAAAAATAGCTTTTGCCAANGCAAACGCGAACGGAGGATGCAACAGGTCTACAAATGTGCACTTAGCAGCAGGAAACATGCCGTACACACAAAAATACAAAAATAGCTTTTGCCAAACACGAAGGAACTTGGAGAGCGATGGCAAAGGATTCATAAAGATGCGCATGCGTGTGCGCATATAAGAAAGGCTGAGAGGACCAGCTGTTCCAACTACTTTTACTTGCAACACTTGGGGTAAGTTCTAAAGCAGTTAGGACAACAGCCACATCCCAGCACTCAAGAAGGGACTATAATGGCATAACATGTCTAATTTTCAAGAGCACCATCACAAAACTTTAAAACTACAACAGGATCATAATGCTCAACAACACTTGAAAGACTCGAAACATCCTTGCAGCCAGGTTCATAAAAAAAGATCAGTGTGCCAGAAAAATGATTTTGTGAGAAGCAATAGCTGAAAACATGACTGCAAAGTAAGGCAACAATCCAAACCGGTCTAAACACCAGAAACAACCCAACTGCTCCCAGAAATGATATACCCAGAACTCCATGCTGAAATAATCAGTAAAATCACCATAATGAGCAACCTCAGATAACCAATAAAGATAACACTGCACCAGTAGGAACTCCATTTGCTAAAGTTTCGTATCTAGGAAGAGGGTTTAGGATGTTCATACAAATGATGAGGCCTCTAATGATTGGGGACATCTTCAGTCCAAAACTACCAACGCCAACTGAACAACGGCACCCCAATGAAAACCAAACAAGAGACCACCTCACACAGGATACATGAAGAATATGCCACTTCTGGTTCACTCACGAGGTCTGAAAGATGTATAATAACTCATTTGCTTTTAGCGCACTGCAAAGAGAGAGAAGATCCATGACAACATCACACGAGAAAAAAAGGAAGGGAAAAAACAGAAAAAAGATATCACACAAATCGCAAACCACTTTTTTTTTTTATCAGTCTTTAATTGTTCTGGTAGGGGAGTAATGAAGAGTTGAAAAAGCCAACAGGGTGTATATTTTCCACAAAACTGAACAACAGCACAAACATAAGAAAACCAACGAAGTACTCCTAAAAAAACAAAAGTAAGAACCGTTGTACCATTCCCAAGACACAGCCCAAGAATATAACTGAACCTGCCACTAGTGCACCAATATTGTCTTGCATTTTTATCAAACTGTACAATAACCAGATACACTAAAAACAACACACCATGCAGATGTGACAAGGAATATAAATCAGCGTGCAGGAAAATCCAGAGCTAGCTAAAATGGGAAGACATTTCAAGTGGCCATATCAGATGGCAATCTATAGCAGCTGATCCAGAAACATCGCCTTGCCCAACTTCCCTACAACAGGAAAGGGAACAGATAAAATGACAGTTGGAAATATTTTTGAATATTTTCAATCTAAATACAAAACGTAACCATATCCAAATGGAAACACCTGACACATTCCAATGCAATGAGATCACTCTTGAATCCAACCTATAAGAGGAATGTTATGACACTTTTGGTACACTAACAACCATAGAGCACTGATCCAAAAAATATTCTCCATAATAGCACAATCAAACCAATCATTGATGCCACAAAGCCCTAACACATTCCAATGAAAAGCAATAACACTTTGAATCACGAGTATAAGAGAAGAGAAATACCATAACACTCCAGGTGCACTTGAATCATGCTGAAGGCCCATTGACTTACAAAATGGGGCAACCTTACTGCAAAACTAGTAGTTTTACTCTTTAAGTGGCAATAAGAAAACCTTTCCAGAGACCACAAAGGTCAACTGGAAGTCTGAATTAAGAAGTATCAAATCTACAAGTTTGCTTCACTTGCACCAGTTCAATTGCTTACAGGCAAGTTTTCCTATTTCAAAAACTCATTAGGCTGATCCAACGTGTTTTCCTCCTTCAGAAACTCATTAAGCATCAACCGAGCATTATCTATCCTTCCTCATTCTCATCAACCACCTAGCACAGCATTGTTGACTCAAGTGAAAAGTGTTGAAAAAGTTTCGAGGAAACAAAGTGTTAAGATGACATGATGATCAATTGCTGGCCCTCGTAAATGCTGTGCTGCAGATACTTCCATACAATGATCAATTCCAAATCTTAGTGCTGGAGTTTAGAGGATTCCTCCACCTGTTGAGCCTTTTTAACTGTTCTCAGGAGAAGATATCCACGAGGCATATTTCACAAGTTACCAATAAATCTAGCTTGTCATCGAGTCATTCATTCAATGCAAGAAAGCTTGCTGGAGAAGTCCATGCACCATTAATCTATCGATTCTCTTCTTACTGCATTCTGTGGGACCAAAACAGGATTGACTTGCTCAACTATTACACAAGAAAGGTATATTATATCAACATCCGTGGTAGTTTATCCTAAATACAGCCAAAACATCACATAATCATTCTTATTGCCAACAAAATTTGAAGTGAATATATAAATACGTAAAATGACCTCAAGGTACAAATATTGTTAAAAGAAAGAAGAAAAAGAAACTGATCAAACTCACTAGAGCTCCTACTATAACAATGATAATGCACCCACAGCAATTTCTATTTTTTTTACTTTTCCTTATTCTTATTGGTATCTTTAATTTTTTTTTCCTCTTAGCTCTTTCTCCTGCCTAGTTTCAAACCCAATATACACTTAAATTGTAATGCAACTTCTATCACCACTGGGGCCTCCATTTCAAACACATCACTCCTCGACTCAAAACCAACAACGTTCATTTCAATCATTAAATTCTTACTTTCTTCTACATCTTTTCACACAAAAGGAAAAGCACAAAATCCAATATCAAGTGGAATTTAGGATAAGATGAAGATTAGTGAAAATATAAGTGAACCAAAGGGAATGTAAGAGTTGGTGATCCAGACACATCTTGCTCATCTTAAAATTGGAAGTAGCGCAGTATACACTTCAATGTGCAAAATAACACAGTATGGTAGTAGTGTCATGCATGTCATGCAGGAGCAGCAACATCATGTAATTGTTGGCCATACCCCCCGTGTAGTAGTAATGGTGTTAAACTGACAGACAACAAAAATGCTACAATGATGTAAATTAATCTTCATGCGGTTTTGCAAGCTATGATAATCAATTGTTTATTAGGGTATCAAAGGGACCACCTAAAAGGAGGACAGATCTTCCACCCAGACACTTGCATAGAACACAATAACTTACCTTGTTGCCAAGAGTCCAGAACTGAGCACAGTGCTATACAACCTCACACAGTGTACAGCAACAGGAACCACATTCTAAAGCACCAAAAAACATTTCCAACATTCTACCAGCAATGTCGTTCAAGATATTTCCCTGGTGCTACACCCAAGAACCACAAACCACAAAAAATTACAAAGAAATGGCATTCTTAGGCTTGTGAAGTTAATTCATCATGTGCAACAATTCCAGCTATGAACTTTAGGAAAGAATGAAAATGCTGTGACCTTCACTTGGAAAACCCGATAAGAACAACCATCCAAAACTGAAACAAGCCAACACAAACACTCAAAAGTCAATCCTCTAAATGCCATTGGAAAAATTAAAATGCAGGAATAATCTACATCATCAAAAATCTATCGAGAAGCAACAGAAAAGCAGATATACTATATTTCCAATTTTACGAAAATTAGCCATACATAAATAGACAAATTCCTCTCCAATGGACCACACATGAATCGTAGGCATAAGAACATCATCTGACACTTCTGGTACACCATATAACAACCATGGAAAAACAAATCAAAAAAATTATTCACAGTAGCAAAAGCAAACCAATTAGTTGTAATTCACTACAAACAACAAAAAGAAAGAAACCACAACAACACAGAGAAAAAGGAAATAAATATAGACAAAAAAAACCTACTCAGAAAGGGTAAACCTTCTTTATTCAATGTTCATATGCCGTGGAAAGGGTGTCTCGCGGGATGACATTTAAATGTGGACGCCTTTGTTTTGGGTCAAAAATGTCATGGGTTCCAATCCAGTCATCCCTACATGTTCTTCTCCTCTGGGTAGTAATGAGAGATCCATTGAGATCGATTCAAATTGGGCATACATAAAATTTTTCATTTTATGCGACTATATGCATGCAAGATGTATTGGGGGTACAAAAAGAATCCTTTTCTTTCCAGTCGTATCTACTATGATGTGATAAGAAAGCGCTCTCTTAGTTCAGTTCGGTAGAACGTGAGTCTTCAAAACCTGATGTCGTAGGTTCAAGTCCTACAGAGCGTGTCTCAACACACGCATTGTATTATTACATGTATTCAGCCTTACAGAAACCTCCACAAAAAAATCAACAGGGAAGCTACAGTCTAACAAATTAGCTTCTACGAAAATGCATTCAATCCGCAGCAACTGCTACAAAGCATTCTCTTCCCCAACATTCCCACAATAGCAAAAGCAACAGAGCCCACACCTGTATATAATCTCAATTGTAGAATTCAAGCTACAAAGTTGAACAAAATTCCCGTGATAGAAACAGAAAGATGTTGACATTTTCAATCTAAGTACCACAAATAGCCATGCCAAAATGGAAACCACCAGACAGATTCCAGTGCAATAAGATAACACCTAAACCACAGGTATGAAAAAATGTGCAATATGTTAAATAGAGTCATTAATAATACCAAAAATGGCATAAGCAATCGCTGACTCCATGATCCAAATGGATTAGCTCAATCCAATTGCAGTGCCCAGCAGAAACTCAGAATGGAGAACAGCCACAACATCACCATGGGAAAGAAAAGAAGGAAATAGAAAAAACCTTGTCATAAAAGGTGAAACTCTATTTCCTTCTGTCTTCTTTAAGTTGTGAACAGAGATCACATCTACTAGATCACTTTCCAACACAAAACACAAAAATTAAGAACTGGCTAAGATAGCCAATCAACCAATATCTAGGAAAAAGCCAGGAAAGGACAGAGAAGTAGACCTGTGCACCAGTTGAGTATGCATCAGCTCCTCCAAAAGCATAGCCTTCCCCCTAATAAGGATGGGAGTGGACACACACTTACAACAATGCCGAACAATGCACAACAAAAAAACAAAGAGTTTGAATTCTTCCACTCCAAGCACAAGAGTAACAACTACTAAAAGGGAACACCTGAGCTGTTGAACAACATCTATAATATGGAAATATGACACTTCTGGTAAACTAAATAGAATAAATGGAAAAATAAGTCCTCAAAAATCATATTATTAATAGCAAAAAGTAAACCAACCCAACAATCCAAAAATTCCAAACACATCTATCAATAACTCAACCCTAATTGTAGAACTTCAAGCTGCAAACAACCAAAATAGAAAAGAGCCACAAGAACACTATGCAACCAAAAAAGAATGATGTAGACAGGGCATTTGGAGGAGTCTCAAGGGGAATAAACACCTAATTTGTCTCCCCATGCCTATTCTTTGCTATTCTAGTATAACATTAGATAGGGAAAGCAGCAAGGTAACCCCTGTAGAACAACAAAAATACAAGCACAACATCAATATAAATGCAATGCCATAAAATAAACTGAAACTAGAAAAAGGAACAAAATAACAAAAAGCTAGCAGCAAACAGCCAATCCAGCAAAACTTTCATGTCCTCTTCTACGAAG